GTTTGGAGCAAGAGAAGAGCCCGTTGTGCCATCAAGGAGACTTCGCAGGGGACATCACTCAGATGTCATGGTTTGGAGCAAGAGAAGAGCCCGCCTGTGCCATCCCACCTGAGCAGAGGTGAGACCAGAAAACACGGCCCCTGTCGAGAGGGAAGAAAGTCCTGCCGGGAGTTTTCTACCCCATGGGTCCCCCCCACCATGTGCTGCTGGCTTATAAGTTTGTTTTATTTTATTTAACATACTGCATTTTGCTGACTTTTTACAGGCCCCTCACCTTTCCTGCTTGGCAAGCAGGCTGTGTGGTGGGAAGCTGACAGAGGTTGTAGGTGTGAAGGTTGACAGGTTTTCCCCCCCTCCGATTTCCTGGAGAAAATGAGAAGTTGCGAGAGCTGGTAGATAAAACACGGGGGTCTCGCTTTTAACAACCTTCCAATGAAATGGATGTGTTTTAACACTTTTATCTTATTTTTTGCCCAGATAGCATTTTGTTTCCATGGAAGCAGATCTGGATATTGGCAGCTGAAAATACCATTCGGTTCTAGTAACCATTTCTTTGGAAGAGTTGCTTTTCTGCCGAGGCCTGTTTAGGCCTCTCGTAGTAGTAGCGATAATGTTCGGTTCAAATAGAAACCGAGAGCGGTTGTAGGAGACAACCAGGGTGAGCTCGAGGGCGGAGCCTCCGTTGACACTTATCTGGTGCCAATTTGCCTTGACCATTAGTAGACCTGATTCTTGGAGCGGCACGGTGGCCTAGAGGTGGAGCTCTCACCTCACAATCAGGAGGCTGTGAGTTCGATCCTAGGTAGAGGCAGATATATTTCTCTCCCTGGGCTCACTGAGGTTCTATCTGCCGAACAGAACTCCGCATTGGCAACGGGAAAGGCATCCAGCCATTAAAACGCTCTGCTAGCTCCATTCCGTTGCCCAGACTCCATGATATGGGGGTCGTTAAATGAAGATGAGGTTAGTAGATCAGGTTCTTGTGTAGAGGTAGCCTGAAATAAACTGGTTGTACTTTTGAACCCTAACCTGGTTCAAAGGCCCATAGTTCTTCTTTTCATTAAAGTGGACGTGCCCAATTCTTGCAACTGTTCTTCGTATGTTTTAGCCTCCGCTTCCCTAAACAGGAGGATGACGGGGAATGTGCTGCCGACCTATGTCCCTTCTCCTGGAAAAAAAGCTCTGTTAGACATCCTGGAGATTCATTCAGTACAGGCCTTCACTGGGTTGCCTGTCCTCCAAGCGTATCAGCAGCTGGTGATGCCACTGTGTGACCATCCACAATAAGAGGGTGGTAAGAAATAATCAGGAAGTATCCACCCTACCTGTGTATCTTGGTCATCTTTCTCCATTGTTGGAATTCTAGCTTTCCGTCATGTGGAAGCTCCATTTTGTACCACGTAGAACTTTTCTCTCTCTATTATTATTATTATTATCATTATTGAAAAGACATAATTAAACGTTGGCTTTCTTCCAAGCATCAGTGAGAACTTCTCCTGTGGGTCAGTGTGAAGGTTGTTTCTTGAATTTACCAGCAGGAGGAGCTGCCGTATTGAAGAACAGGAGTGTGTGTTGTGCAGATCACTTCTCTTTTTGGACCTTAGATTTTTGCCTCTTACTCGATCCCTGCTTTTTGTTGGTGGTGGTTTGTTTTTGTTTTTTTTGTTTTTTTTTAACCCTGGACTCTCTTAGCTAGGTAAAAAAAAAGTCCTAGTTCATTGTGGCCACTTCAAAATAAACCTGGGATTACCCTAGCCTTTACCTGTAACACTAGCTTGACCTGTCCAGTCTTGTTCAAGCGTCTCAATATTACCTCCTTCTTTCCTTAATGCTTAGTCATATCTTCAAAAGGATCCCTTCCCTTTGGAAAAGAAATCTCTTTCTTTAGGAGAGTTTGAATCAGGACACACCTCCTTGAGAATCTGTTTATCTACTACTCTTCTTTTCTGATCTGGGCGTTGGCTGCTGAAGGCGTGTTGTGAGCTCCGTGTTTCCTTCCTTGGCTTTGGGTTGTATTTTTTTTAAAATAGTATTTGAGGTCCTTGATGCTCTCTGAGCTTGTTTGTCTTCTTGCAGATGTTCCATTACCCAACTAGGTAACACCATCAGTGCTAGAAGGGAGCAAGGTTTGCAGAGGGGAGGAGGAGAGGGGAAGAGGAGGAGGAAGAGGACTGTATGGTCCTTGGTGCTCTCTGAGGCTGGTTGTTTCCTTGCAGGTGTTCTGTTACCCAACTAAGTAACTTCATCAGTGCTAGAAGAAAATGGGGGTTGCAGAGGGGAGGAGGAGGACTGTGGGGTCCTTGGTGCCCTCTGAGGCTGGTTGTTTCCTTGCATATGTTTCATTTCCCAACTAGGTAATATCATCAGTGCTACAAAGAAAAGGGGTTTGCTTTCTATTATAGTCAAATAACTTGCTGTCTCAGTGTTGGTGAGTGTGTTTTGGTGGTTCTTTGATCAGGCTGTCATTTGCTGAGTTGGTAGATCCTTGGTTGGAATATCGTTTACTTCCTTTCTGGGTGTTGTTTGTTGGTCAGGAGGTGTTGTTGATTGTCTCTTTCAAATGGTATGTAGATGTTGTTTATCTGTTTGCAATTGATGGCTGATTTGTCTGAGTGCCAGGAATTCTCTAGTGGAACGTCAAGGAACCACCAAGACGATTCTCACCCACCTTGGCAGGACAATCACTTTGTATATAAACGGAGGGCAAACCCCGCTCCCTTCTAGCACTGATGATGTTACGTTGTTGGGTAATGAAAAATCTGCAGGAAAACAATCAAACTCAGAGAGCATCAAGGACCCCACAGTTGTCCTCCTCCTCCTCC